TTTAGAAAACTGCATCATCAATGTAATAAATAAGTGATGACTTTAAAACATAAAGCAAAAATCTAAAAATAGAGACAAATGAAAGAAAAAAATAAGGTGAGCAGATGGGGATAGGTGATAAAATAAAATTTTGTGATAAAATTTATATTGAAACAGTATTACAATAAAAATTGAAAAAAAAAAGGATGGACTATTTGCCATGGGTAAATGGTAGTATTTTCAAAAAATGGCATTCAATAATTTTTCGTACGGAAAAAATATATTTTGGCCTTTATGTAATTACACATATGTAAATAGACTTTCAGACAGAGTGCAGGTCTGAATGTAAGAATAAAATACAAAGCTTGTAGAAGAAAATACAGAACTTTTTCATTACTTTGTGTTAGATAAGTATTTCTTAAACAGGACACAAAAATATTTAACCATCAAAATTGGACTATATTAAAATTGTCAGTAAAATTAAGTAATTTCAATAGTCAAAAAGATAGCCAGTGAATAGAAGATAGCTGCAACAAATGCTATTGTCAAAAGGCTCAGTTTAATTTAAAAACACCCTCAAATCAATAAGAAAACAAGCAAATTGATAGAAAAGACAAAAGTCTTAAGCAGACATTTCTCTAAAGAACCACAAATAAACATTTCATTTCTATAAGATAGAGAAGCAGGCATGACTAATCTGTACTGTTAGAAGTCAGGATGGTGTTATCCATGGGACAGTATCATCAAGGTCATAAAGGGAGCTCTGAAGTGTTGGTAAGGTTCTGTTTCTTGATCTGGATGCTAGTTATAAGGGTGTGCCAATTTTGTGAAAATTTATCAAGCTATAAACTTACCATATATTACACTTTCGTATATGTATATTATACTCCGATACAAACTTTAAAATCATACAGTTGCCTCATATTAATTATAAGGTGATATGTGAACTAAAACTAAAATTTCAGGTGTTTTTATTCTAGTTGTCTTTTTTTGTGCCTGAAATATTTGAGTAAGGACACATTTGTTAAACAAGCATGACTTCAGACCGTGGGTAAGCTCTGGCTCTGATAAAAGACCATAGATGAGAAATGTGGTAATGGTCTTTTCCCTCTCTCTGGGATACAAATGTAGGACTTTTGGCTTTTGATATATAGCCCAAGGAGACTAGCTATCAACATCTTGGATTATGAGGAAAAGTAAACAAATCTATTGAATAGGAAAGGATGAAAAATCTCTCAGGATACTTACATCTTATTGATCAGAACAGAGTATATGGTGACCCCAAGCTGCAAACGTCTGGGAAGGTATGTATTTTTATCTAGGAACATTGCTAACTAAAAGAACGTCAGGATGCTGTTAGTAAGGATGAAGAAGTAAATCTACTCTCTGTAGATGACAAGTAGTACCTGCCACAGCCTTACACATTAAAGGGCTCCCATAGCAGTGTGGCATGATATGTGTTCAATAATATTTGTTAGCAAACATCTTTGCCATAATTAACATTACCCCAGAATTTAGTGCATGGTTCCAGTTTGTGGTAATAGTGGGTAAGAGAGTTCATCCGATCTTTGGATTTGGCAGGCTGGTGAAATGGGAGAAGAATATGTCGATTGATGACATTTATAAAAGAGCTTTGGAATGATTGTCTTCAGACTCTGTATTGGATAAGGAAGCAAGAGAAGATAAGACAGGGATGATGTTCAGAAAGAAAGTAGAGGGGTCAGATACTTAAATTATCAGCAGACAGGAAGGCAAGAAAGAAGATTCACAATAACCTAAATAACAAAGTCTCCCAGCGCATTACAGCCTCCATTGCAGAGACCCAGGCAATTATTTATAAGCAATGAGTGCAGTGATCGCGGGGCCCCAGGGATAGTGCTCCAGGTGTTCCCTCTACCACGTGGGCTTTGAATGTGAGGTAGAGATACTTTTCTCTAGTGTTTCCATCTATAAATAGAAGCACATGCACGCTTTGTACTGTACTGTAGCGTAGTGTAATGTAATGTAGTGTATGAGAGCAGAATCCATCTGGACAGCCAGAATTTACTGATTTATGGCACTTGCTGACAAACTTGAGCACCAACTGGTCTTACTGTTTCCAGGTTACTCTGTGCTAGGAACCCTTGGAAGCACCTTCAGTCCTACCTGTGATTGACTCCTTCCAGAGAGGAATGATTCACGTAGGAATTTGTTTTATTTTCTAAATTGATCTAACTGCCTCTTATCTTCCCATGGAAATCTTTCCACTTTGGCCTCTATATCCCCATTCTATTGTAAACAAACATTCAACAGCCTCTGAAAATTCCTTCCACATGACTTCATTGAAACTTGACTGTTTGGAACACATTTTCTTTTTCTTGTCATTTCTCCTTATTCTCCCTCATCTACAACATCTCAGATTTAGAGATAGGAACAGCATTCTCCTCACCACCCCCCAAAAACCGAGATTATGATCTGTGCTCCTTTGACGCTCAGGTCTTTCACCGCTACTTTTCCCTACCCCTTTTTCTCTATCACCTTTATAAACACCAGACACTCTTCCTTATATATTAAAGACTGAACACAGCTCAGAAGATTCCACTGTAAGGCACAATACCACATGACTTAAATGTCCATGTGGACAATTCAAAGAGAAGCCTGAACTCATCAACTTTAAACACCCCTAATTAGAATCCCTTTTAGCCATTAACTCCCATGGCCACACTTTAGAAAGATCTGGTGATCATTCTCCATGTTACATGCTGCTCCACCTCTGAAATCTCATGTCCTGTCTAAAATCTCCCATCCTTAGATTTTTACACTCAGTTTCTTCTACAGCACTTGTTCTTTGGTGATATATGATCATTTAGTCCCCTGATCCCTTTATAGTCATCTTATTTCTCAGAGGCTTCCTATCTTTTATTTTGTTATCTAAACACCTAAACTCCATGGCCCTACTTCAATTAATATTTAGTCATTAGTCTCACTGTTCTTGTCCCAATTCTGTGTCCTGTCAGTGATTTTATTAATTCCCAATCATGGATCAATATCCGCCTTCTTATAATGTACACTTCCTCTGTTAAGCAGAGTTCAAGATAATCACACAGGGGTGCAGACTGGTGTCACTGAAACCTGTTGTCATTTTCAACACTACCTAACTAACTAGGCCTCCAGTGTTGCCAGGAAAGTATTCTTTTTTTTTTTTTAAACAGTTCTATTTGTTTATTTATTCATTTTTTGTGAGGAAGATCAGCCCTGAGCTAACATCCATGCTAATCCTCCTCTTTTTCCTGAGGAAGACCCGCTCTGAGCTAACGTCTATTGCCAATCCTCCTCCTTTTTTTTTTCTCCCAAAGCCCCAGTAGATAGTTGTATGTCATAGTTGCACATCCTTCTAGTTGCTGTATATGGGACACGGCTCAGCACGGCTGGAGAAGCGGTGCGTCAGTGCACGCCCGGGATCCGAACCCGGGCCGCCAGTAGTGCAGCGTGCGCACTTAACCGCTAAGCCACGGGGCCAGCCCAGTATTCTTTTTCTCTATAATTCTCTCCTATCATCATTTCCTACAATAACTATTTCAAATGTTGTCACACTCCTCAGACTCCCTAACTCAGAATCTCCTCCATTCACTCTCTTGGGAGGCACTTAATTTCTATTCATAAGAACAAAAAAGATTCCATTAGAGATTAATAGATGTTTTAACTTTCTGCCTTCACACCCTGAAAAATTACTGAAATATACACAATCTTTTCCTTCTTGATTCCAATGAAATTGGAAATAACTGCTCCTCCTTGTCCCAAAACTTGGTCCTTCTGACTCTGGTCTGTATTCCAATCCTATCTGTCCTCAGAGCTTTGATCCATTGCTTATAGATCCTTTCCAAAAGCATGTAAATATATCCCGATATTTATAAAGCCTACTAATACCACTTCAACATCCTTGTCTAGTTAACACCATGTCTCTCTCCTCTGCTTCAGAGTTCAACCTCTTGAAAGAGATTTCTGTATTCAGATTTTCTGTTCCTTGTCTCATCTGCATGCCTCATCCCATTGCAGTTTAGCTTCTGCTGAAAAAACTCAAATCATGATTTTTGTGCTGTTAAAAATCAATGGACACTTTTTAGTCATCATCTCACTAGACAGACAATTCTTCAGCATTTGCTCTGTTGGACATTCCTTCCTTCTTAAAACTCCTTTTCTCTTCTCTTTCAGGACACCAGTCATTTCTGATTTGCCGCTTACCTTTCTAGACTACTCACTGAGGTTTCTGTGCTAATTTTTCCACTGCCCATCCATTCAGTGTTTGGGTTCTTTGGGGATTGTCTTTAGTTTCTATTCTCTTCTGAGTCTTGCTCTGAGCGTTTGTCTTGCTGAAATCACATCTGCTTGTAAAGGGTGGTACTATATCATAGATAACATAATGGGTGAGGAGCTGGGCTTGGAGTCTAACAGAATTAGTTCTAGTCCTTGTGTGTCCTTGAACAAATTATTTAACTTCATAAAGACTTGATTTCCTTTCTATTAAGTGAGGATAATATCTACTTTAAAGGGCTATAGTGCTAGTTTATCAGTGGTTAATAATGTGGATTCTTGAATCATACTAATGGGACAAATTCCAGTTGTCACTTACTATGACATTGGACAATTTACATCCTTCATTCCATGCTTCAGTTTCCTTGTTTATAAAATGAGGATGATAATATGATTTACTTAATAGGATTAAATAGCGCTACTTAGTTCATAAGATTAAAAGAGCCTCTTAATAAGTAGACTCCCGAAAACACTCCTATCAGATGATAATGGTAAGAAATTTAAGCCTAGACAGGAGCAGGAAGGGGGTGGGGCACAAAAACCTTAAGACTCTGTTTGTTTCTATATATGACCTGAAGAGGGCGATGTTGCATAACCTGGAAATGTCTCCTCTGTTAAAGTTCTACCTCTCTCCTATGAGCTTCTTTACTCACAGCTCGTTGAGGGGCACATTTGGAGTAGGCTCAACACCAGGAGTAGCCACTGTCAAGGAAGCATCTCTTTGTCTAAACAGGGATCTCTTGAATCTCAGATTTTCCCAGTTGCAGAGACTCAGCATACTCTGGTACATTCCTTCCTGCTCCTTGGGAAAGATCTTCCAGAATACAGCTCTCAGCTTCCTCACTGCCCAGCCATGTTGTCAATGACCGTTCTGCTGCTTGGACTGCTCTTCACAGTGAGTAAGTAACATTGTATTCCATGCTCCTGCCTCCATAGAAGGAACATTGTCCCGACTAGAATTGAACAGAGACAGTGTCTCATTACAGGTAGGTCTGTCTGTCCCGCTCTCACTGACTCAGCATTGATGTTTCAGGAGGAACCAGAGCCCAGTCAGTGACCCAGCCTGATGACCACATCACTGTCTCTGAAGGAGACCCTCTGCAGCTGAGGTGCAACTATTCCTATGGTAGAGCTCCTTCTCTCTTCTGGTATGTGCAGTATCCCAGCCAAGGCCTCCAGCTTCTCCTCAAGTACATTTCAGGGGCCACGCTGGTTAAAAGCATCAAAGGTTTCCAGGCTGAATTTAAGAAGAGTGAAACCTCCTTCCATCTGTGGAAACCATCAGCCCATTTGAGTGACTCGGCTGAGTACTTCTGTGCTCTGAGTGACACAGTGACTGAGACTGCAGGGGGAGCTGAACACAAACCTGCTGAGACACAGATTTTCAGAGACTCAAGGACACGACCTGACCTGTTTTTAGAGGGTCTCTCATGTGATGAAAGTGAGCAGCGTGGGGAGCAGAGCCCTGGGGAGTTCTTGGCTCCTGAGGATAAACAGGAACTTCAACATGTTCCTTCCTTTACTACTGGGTCATGTTAAACAAGACCTAAAACAGAGAAACTTGTGTGGATATTCTCCTTCTACTTGGAGATACTGCATTGTAGAGGCTCAGGATTCTAATTAAATGTGACCAATACTGACTTCTGATGTTTTGCCTTCCGAGCTCACCTCCAGCATGCTCCTCCCACTACCTTTTGCTTTTCAATTGACAGCACCTCCATTCTTTCAGTATCTGTGGTCATAACTTCAGAGTTATCTTTGACTCTTATTTTTCTCTCACTGTTTACATCTGGCAAATTAATAATCAGAAACCTCATTAAATTGGAGTCAGGAGGCTGAAAGGGGGAAATTTATACCCTATGTCAATAGCAGAGCCCAACGGGAAGAAGAAAGGCTTCCTCTTCTTGACCAGTAAGAAGTTCAGCCAATGAGACACTGTCACAACTCAGCCAATGAAAAGCCACTACACATTGAACTCTCAATTCCTCCAATGGACTCTTTGTTTACAATGGCCCTCCTAACTTCCTCTTCCCCTCTATAAAAGAGTTTCTCTTCCCTTGCTGCTGAGGGACTTGCACCTGGCCCACCATGGTTGCAGACCCCAAATTACAATTCTGTTCTGATCCCGAATAAATCCATTTTTTCCTGGAGAAATAACTGGCTGTTTATTTGTTTAAGGTCAACACATCTAATCTGTCAAGAAATCCAGTTGGCCCTATCTTAAAAATTAACCCATAATCTAACCACTGCCACTATCTCCACTGCTGCCTCTTTGGGCAAGCCACTCTCATGTCTCAAATGAATTACTCTGACACCCACTTTAAATAAAATGACATAGATAGATTAAAAGTAAAAGTATGGAGAAAGATATCCGTGCCAACACTAATCTAGAAAGCCTATGTTAATGTCAGACAAATTAGACTTCAGAAAAACAAATCTTACAGAAATAAAGAGGGATATTACATCATTATAAAAGGTTTAATTTACTAAGAAGACATAACGATGTTAATGCGTATGCACTTGACAGCAAAGCTTCAAAACACTTGAAGATAAAACTGTAAAGCTGAAAGGAAAAATAGACAACTCTGCAATTACATTTAGAGACCTTAATGCTTTTGCTCAAAAAGTAATAGAACAAGTAGTCAGAAATCAGCAAGAATATAGCAGACTTGCACAACACTATCAACCAATATGAACTTATTGATATTTATGGAACACTCCACTAAACAACAACAGAAAGCAGAGAAAGCCATGCTTAGAAGGAAATTTATAACAGTAAATGTTTACATTGGGAAAAGAGAAAAGTCTCAAATCAATAACCTCATCTCCTCCTTGGGTGTGTCTCAGGTGACGATGTCCTACATAGAAAAGAAAAATCTCAGCAATCCAGGAAACCCTAGTCTGTATTGAGTTCAGACAAACTAGAGTGTTTCTGCCTATTACTGCACCAGGTACCCAGCTAGAAAATGTGCCTTTTACAAATTTTATTGCTTTTCTGTGCTCAATGATTAAATTGAGATCACTTCTACCCACATCAGATGTCACAATTCTGGAGCAAGTGACGAGCCTTCCTGTTACAGTAATGATCTCAGAGAGGGTACAGGAAAACTTTATTCCTTTATCATTTTAAAAATTGCCAATTACGAAGATGATCTGCCACAAAATGGATGCAGTTATACACAAGATGAATTACAACAGAACATTATGGGGTACCCTACACTACGTCTACATATTTTCACCCAAGGTGGGACATCACTAACTGTCACATGGAGCTATGTCACTGTGCTTTCCCTTAGCCTTCAAAGGGACAGTCCCAAGACTATCCAAGTCATGCAGTGGGTCAAGCCTAGAAACAAATAAGGCTGAGAGGGGAAACCATAACTTAGGCTAGGCCACAGGTTAGGGGGGACCAGCATCCCTGGAGCCCATAGGTACAGAATGGAGTGGATGTGAGGAATACATAGACCTTCTCCGTTGCGATGTGACCACTTTTCTGTTTACTCTTTGCTGAATGTGTTCAGTATAACAGTATAACAACATGCTGGCATCTCATTTAATTGTGAGAAGCATTATAGACCATGATAGAACCAAAAAAATCAGCTTTTCTGTATCATATTTGATCTGTAAGAGTTTGAAAATCAATATTTTTTCTGAGGGAGTATATCCAGTATATGGGAACTCTCAGTACTTTCTGCTCAATTTTTCTGTAAACCTAAAACTGCTCTAAAAAAATAAAGTCCCAGCTTTTAAAATATTGGTTTTTATATAAAGGCTACCAAGAAAAAAGAAAAGTCAATTCTACGAGCTCCATCTCACTGAGAATATTTACTATGAGCAGCTCAAATCATTTCCTAATTTCCTGCCCTGCCTACCCTCTTCACCTTTTTTCTTGGTGCTTCTCTAGTTGTGCATTTACTATGCAGCATGTATTATGCAAGACTATTGGCAGACATATGCAATTCAATTATAATCAAAACATGGAAAGTAGAAATAATCCCTGTTATGTAAAGCAATATAAGAAGTCATCTAAGAGGATAGGTTTGGGGGCCGGCCCGGTGGCGTAGCGGTTAAGTGAGCGCGCTCCGCTTCAGCAGCCATAGTGTTGCAGGTTCGGATCTCCAGCGTGCATTGATGCACCGCTTGTCAAGTCGTGCTGTGGCAGCATCCCATATAAAGTAGAGGAAGATGGGCCCAGATGTTAGCCCAGGGCCAATCTTCCTCAGCAAAAGAGGAGGATTGGCATCAGATGTTAGCTCAGGGCAGATCTTTCTCACTAAAAAAAAAAGAAGAGGGTAGATTTATGGATTGGATATACATGTGTCGAGCTCTCAACTCTGCCATCAACTGAACTACGGTAAAAAAGTTAATAAACATTTTAAACCTCAGTTTTATCACCTGTATACTGGGATAATAATAATAATAATAATAATCCCTTCATAAGTTGTTTTAATGATCAAACAAGAAAATATCTATTAAGGGCTTAATTCATATTCTAGCACCGTACAAACACAATAAATTCTTATAGGTAAAAAATGGATGCCTGGAAAACACAAATGACTTTGTCCATGATCAAACATCTAGTACATTATGGAGAGTAAACCACATTCCGAATATTCTTGGCTTTAAATTTAAGCCTGATATTTTCAACTTACAGTACCACTGGTTTATTAGCTTGCACACATGTATGAGGAGTATAGGATGGGCAGGGTGGAAGAAGGTAGAGGGGAAGGGAGAAAGCAGGGAGAAAAACTTTGAAACAATAGAACGCCTATCATATGTTCAGATATCCAGTCACACAGACAGATTGTCTCCTGATCCTGTTGAATACTGGGCAACAGACTTAATGGAGAGAACCCGGTACAACCTTCTCCAACCTTGCTTAATTTGTTGCCCTAGATCTAGTCCACACCTCTCTAAGGTTATAAACATCGTGTTCTTTACAGCTACTTCTTGTGCTGATGAAATGGAAAATCATTTCTGTCCGTCCTGCCACAGCCCTGATTATTAACTGGGGTCATAACATCTTTTCTTCTGCTATGACACCAACTATGTGCAAAGTTTTCTCTTTCTTCTCAAGACTGTGTGGAAGCCAAGTGGTAAGAGAGGAGATAAAGATAGTTAGATTTTCTCCATTATTCAATGGATGAGAGTCTGCTTAAGTGAAGTGGGACACTGACAGTTTACTTGCTCGTATCTCTTGCATTGTGTGAGCTTCAGTTCATTAAATCCTCAGTTTATAACAGCTCCTCGAGACTTTTATCTCTCCCACTGTCACTTTAAATAGGAAGAGGCTCTTTCCTGGCCCATCCTAATATGGGAGTTAGAAAGGAGTTAATGTGTGCCCCATATTATCACAGACTGATTCGTGGAATCAGGCCAGAGAGAATTCTGTAGAAAAATTCGGTGGTAGAGGCAAAAGTCAGAATGGGATGTGCAGCTGAGCCAGGAGATACTAAGCAGGAAAGGGTAACAGAGCCTGAATGCCCACACATGGGCTTACTTCTGTGTTACACCTCTGTAGACTGCAGGCACAACAGAGAACACAGGCGGTCCTAAGAAAAGATGGTCTGGATTGGGCATTGGAGACCTGCAGGGGCCATCAGAACTAAGTTTCTTCCAAAAGTCCCTTCCTCAGTATGTGACTCCCTGAAGCTCCTCCGTGTTGAACGAAGAATTCTCTGAAGGGGTGAGTCTTTCTCTCCTTATCTCTTCAATAATCAGGGCCAGCTTTTAGGGTATGTGTCGTCTGGGATCACAGATTCGGTCAGGACAAGTCCCAGCACCCAGTGCAGCTTCCATTCTGGTTGAGTGTGAAGCCAGGCCCCAGCTTGGCTCCTCTGCTGGGGATGAACGTTCACTGAGGGTCTGCAGTAACTCTGTGCCGTGGCTCTTCTCTAGTCCTGGAGCAGCACGCACATCCCAGCCTCTCCCTGCAGTCACCCAGGGTCTACCTACAGGCACAGCTCAGTAATTAATAAAAGCATGGTCCAGGAGTGATAGCTTCCCTTCCAAAGACTGGATTTTCTGACTCAAGGATACAAGAATCTGTAGCAAATGACATGGCCTCTATTTCAATTGTCACAGACGGAAAGTCCAGCAACGTGGGCCTGCCGAGGATGAACCAGAGAGACGACTGTGCTCTGAGAGACACACAGAGTGACAGGTGAGGCTGCTCCTGTGCAATAGCTCCATGACATGGAAAGGACACAGCCTGGGAAGGCAGTTGAGGAAAATACACACAAAATGCTTTCCCAAGGTCAGAAGACTTGTTCTCTTTCTTTGACAAGAATGCCCAGTTGGGTCACACTTCCTTGGTCAAGTGACCAGGTAATAATGATAACGATGATGACATTAAAATCCTTCATTTAACATCACTCTCATTACGAATAAAGAAGGAACAAATAAGCTAAGAGTGTGTAATTCAAGAAATCAAAAGAAAAACAAAAGAAACCTAAGTATGGAAATGGTATTAATAAATGCACAAGCATAACTTGATGAGAAAGAAAAATAGAATTGAAGAGTGATTTTTTAAAAATTGG